TGTGTGTGTGTGTGTGTGTGTGTGTGTGTGTGTGTGTGTGTTGTATATCTTGTATAAAATATTTCGTAAAATATTAAGATTTTAATAATTCTCCTTCAATATTTTCATGCATAAAATAATAGAAACAAAAAGAAAGAAGATAAGTGTAGAAAAAAGATAGTTGTTTCTAAAAACAAAATATGTAACTGCTAGTTGCAAATTACATTTTTTTAAAAACGTGTTCTTAAAAATTATATGTACACAATCGATTCCTTTTATTTTGTGTAAAAAAGTAATAATATTATTAAATAATCGAATTATTATGTATAAAGTGATTATGACAATTATGAGATTGAGGTCTTAATATCCTTAGATGTTTCCTCTTTGTATACTAATGTTCCGAAATCCTTGGTTACCTCGGGTATCGAGAAGAGATGGAATGAAATTGCTCCGAATACCATATTCTTTTTGAATCAATTTTTGCATGCTCTGGAATTCATTATTGATTCCACAAGTTTTTGTCTTAATGGTGGATTTTATGAACAAATATTTGGTATGCCAATGGGGTCTCCTTTTTCGCCCATATTGGCAAACATTGTTATGGATGATCCATTGTCTTAATTCACTGACTAAACCGATTTCCACTTATTGTAGGTTTGTTGATAACATCTTTGCGATTGTACCAAGGGATGGTGTTAATGACATTTTGAATTGTTTTAATAACTTCATCCGCGATTAAAATTTACACATAAATTATAATGTGATGACTCTTTAAGTTTTTTGGATATTAAGGTAATTAGACGAAATGATAAGCTTATAACGAATTGGCACAGAAAATCAATCTTTTCGGGAAGATATATAAATTATTTCTCTAGTCATCCGCAAAAATACAAAACTGATGCAATTATTAACTTAATAGACAGAGCCATTTTACTTTTAGATAGACAGTTTCACAGTGAGAACATTTCCATTGTAAAGCAGATTTTATTTGATAATTGTTATCCTGCAAGTTTCGTTAATGCTATTATTAATAAAAGATTAAAATATTTACAATATATTCATTGGGCGATGAAAATGTAAGGCATAATAATAATAAAGGCATTGATTTCTCCAAATGCAGTTCTCTCATACATTAATGGCTTAAGTGAGAATATTCTTTGGGATTTAAATAAGTACGGTATTAATGATCTTTATACAGTTCAAAATAAGCTTAATAAATTAATAAAAAAAGGAAGAGACCAGCTCTCACCAAATAAAAGAACAAATGTAGTGTATAAAATCACATGCAATGATTGTTCGGCATGTTATATAGGGCAAACCAAACGGTACTTAGAAACGCGTATTAAAGAACATTATAATGATGTTAAGAAGCATGAAAGTAATCATTTGGTTGTCAGCAAACATAGAGTTAATCTTAATCATGACTTTTGTTGGGACATTTGTGTCTATTTTGCATAGCGAGTGTAATGTTAAAAAAAGGAAGATTATTGAAATGATTTTTATCAGAAAACATAAAGACGCTATAAATTTGCAAAAAAATACAGAGAATTTAAATGCTATTTATGATACGATTCTTAATGTTTTTTAGGATCCTTGAATATGTATTTTTATTTATTTGTTTTGACTTATATTGATTATTATGTCTATGTTTACCTCATAGTTAGTCCTTCCGATTATTTATCAGTGTATGTTTAACCGGCGTTCGTGCACAGTGTAAAGTTATGACTGAATACTCTAGTTCGTTCCTTTCACTGGTTAGCATGATCGAATATAAGACCTTTATCATCATTTAATAGGTATTAACATTATTTTACAATTTATTATGACTTTAATTTAAGTATATTTAATGACTTTTATGTAATATGACCTGAGTGTTATTTTGAGATAATTTGATTGTAAGATTAACACTTATTTCATTTGCACTGTATATATGTTTATTATTATAACGACTAGATGTAATTATTTGTACATTTTATTTCATTTTTATTTCATATTTTATAATTTTTTAGTGCGTAGTTATACATTTATTATTGTTAATTTATCCTACATAGGTTTGATGTGTCTTAAATTTCAATTCATTCGTAAAAAATTTTTTGTTTATTGTAGCCTGAAGAGAACCCGATATAGCGGTCAAAACGTTGCTAATAAATTAAATTCAACACCTTAGCCAGTTGGTTGATTTAATTCTTATCAACCTTGATTTCAAAATTTACTGGTGATCAAACTACTCATCTTGAATTATTAAAGTATTAAATCATCGAAAAATTAATATTTTATGAGATATTTCATGATTTATTAAAACAATAAAAATACAAATCAACACTCGTGTAAAATTTAAAATTAATAAAACATGAAAAGTAGGCCAAATATACGAGCCGAAATGATTTAGATGTAAGAATAATTAAAAATTATTTATTCATAATATAAATGTAGACGTTTCGACCTTACTAGGTCTTTATCAACCGCAAGTATAAAATTATAAAATATAATAAAGAAATTTAAACATAATCTTGCAAGCTAGGTAAAGACGAAACTTCGATTATCATTCGATTTAATTGCAATGGTTGAAACAATTATTCTTAGATGTCTTATGTTTAAGACCATCTCTCAATTAAATGCACGGAGTCCAAATTGGTCGTTGGACAGCGCGAACAGTCTGTTCCGGCATCTTCACGAGATGAGTCCCATTTATTCAAGCCCTTTTTCTCCCACAAAATAGATATATTAAAAGAATTCCAAAGAAGAACACTCCGAAAAATATAAATTAGCAATAACTTACATATTGATGTTATGTGTTGGTTGTTGCGATTCAGCAATATCAAGGAATATTATTATTATATACATTATTATATCGTAGCCTGTTTATATAGTCAAGTGTGTTGTCAATAGTTAAAGGTTAATTTGTATATTATTTTTATATTAAAAAAGTGTGTCATAATTCTTCTAAAATGTCAAAATAACAGCTTTCAAGAGATTCGATGTCTTTCTTTAAATTTATACTGTTTTTATGTTCTTTTATGTATAACATTTCAGAAATAAGTCTTTTATTATAGTTGATTTCATGATCTAATATTTCAGTCCCTTCCCAGTCAAAAGTATGCTTATTATTTAAAATATGTGTTCAGAAATCACCGAATGTTTTGCAGAGTCTAATTTAAAATTGTTTTTATGTTCGTTAAGTCTGGTACGTAATTGTCTTTCTGTTTGTCCAATATAAGTTGCGTCACAGTCTCTGCAATTGATTTTATATACAACATTTGAATTGCTGGAGTCATCATTCTTGTCTTTATGTGTTTTAATCCAAATGTTTAGATTTTTCAAGACACGATATCCTACATTTACATCCGATTTTTTAACATTAGCTGATATTTTTTCGGAGATGGATTCCACATATGGAATTGCAACAAATTTGTTATTTATAAATAGTAAATTAAATATAACTGATAAAGGAAATAAAAAGGGTCCTCATGATAGCAAAGATAAAAATAATTTACTATTTATAAATAACAAATTTGTTGCAATTCCATATGTGGAATCCATCTCCGAAAAAATATCAGCTAATGTTAAAAAATCGGATGTAAATGTAGGATATCGTGTCTTGAAAAATCTAAACATTTGGATTAAAACACATAAAGACAAGAATGATGACTCCAGCAATTCAAATGTTGTATATAAAATCAATTGCAGAGACTGTGACGCAACTTATATTGGACAAACAGAAAGACAATTACGTACCAGACTTAACGAACATAAAAACAATTTTAAATTAGACTCTGCAAAACATTCGGTGATTTCTGAACACATATTTTAAATAATAAGCATACTTTTGACTGGGAAGGGACTGAAATATTAGATCATGAAATCAACTATAATAAAAGACTTATTTCTGAAATGTTATACATAAAAGAACATAAAAACAGTATAAATTTAAAGAAACACATCGAATCTCTTGAAAGCTGTTATTTTGACATTTTAGAAGAATTATGACACACTTTTTTAATATAAAAATAATATACAAATTAACCTTTAACTATTGACAACACACTTGACTATATAAACAGGCTACGATATAATAATGTATATAATAATAATATTCCTTGATATTGCTGAATCGCAACAACCAACACATAACATCAATATGTAAGTTATTGCTAATTTATATTTTTCGGAGTGTTCTTCTTTGGAATTCTTTTAATATATCTATTTTGTGGGAGAAAAAGGGCTTGAATAAATGGGACTCATCTCGTGAAGATGCCGGAACAGACAGACTGTTCGCGCTGTCCAACGACCAATTTGGACTCCGTGCATTTAATTGAGAGATGGTCTTAAACATAAGACATCTAAGAATAATTGTTTCAACCATTGCAATTAAATCGAATGATAATCGAAGTTTTGTCTTTACCTAGCTTGCAAGATTATGTTTAAATTTCTTCATTATATTTTATAATTTTATACTTGCGGTTGATAAAAACCTAGTAAGGTCGAAACGTCTACATTTATATTATGAATAAATAATTTTTAATTATTCTTACATCTAAATCATTTCGGCTCGTATATTTGGCCTACTTTTCATGTTTTATTAATTTTATGATTTATTAAGCTATAAAAATTAAAGTAAAATATTTTGTGACATGTTCATTTTTTGATCATCTTATTCTTACATTTTTCCTAAAAATTGTGAGAAATCGATATTATATGTAAAAATATAGCATCGATATTATATATGTATAAAAAATAGCAGTCCCGTTTAAAAAAACAAATGGCCTTCAAATGACCTTGAAAGCATCTTTTAGAGAAAAAGTCAGTAGTGCCATCATCTGTATTCCTTCAAACAAGTTTTGTTTGGAACATTTTATTATACAATAAAAAATAAAAAAGTTTTCGGAAATAAGCGATTAAAATTGGGTACCCTATATATGTATATAGTACATGTACAGTATGTACTACACACACGTCCTCACGCGCTCATGCAACACGCGACACACACGCAACACGCTTTCACGCACACACACTTCACTTACCTTTTTTGAGAGTATCTTCATTCTTCATATATATACATATAGTATATCTCTATAAATCTGATTGCATGATGTGTATGAGAAGTATATTAATATTATATATAATAAATACTAATATTATTATATATTACTTTCAAATATATATATATATATATATATATAAATCTAGCTGTACCTTGTAATAACGTGGTTCGTAGGAATAAGTAATAGATAGACAAGTTATCGGTAAATCTTTCAACCATCCAGCGGCTATACTTTCTCGTACTATCAAAGCGTTAACTAAGATTTGGCAAATGTTGTAAATCTTTATAAATAATTTTAAAGAATAAAGCGGTTTATTTTTCATAAATCGAAAATTATAAATCGAGGATCCCAATATAGGACAACAAAGAAATATATAATTAAAATAAGTGGAATTTCGTAAGTGATTAGAATCCAATTGTTTGTTCGTGGATCTGAAAAATTAGAATGTTCAAGGTTTGTCACAAATATTTTTGAGTAACGAGTAACATTTTTAAATTGTTTTGTTTGTTTATTTTATAATAATGCTTTATAATAATGAATAAATCGCTTAAGTTAATAAATCGCTTTTTGAATAATTGTGTGTCATAAATATTTCCATGAACACATAACAGCCATTTTCGTGAGCTCAAAATAGCTAAATTGGGATTAGAGATCATAAAATTTAGGGTTAGAGATCATAAAAAATGGAGACACAGAACGTCGAATATGTAGATGTAAAAAAAATAAAATATTAGATTGTTCCATATAAAATGTTCGATTTTTTAATGTAAACTTTTTGAAGCTTTTCTTGGTCAATAAAAATCTTTATATTTGTACATATTTTGTACATATGTATATCATTTCAAAACTCAAAATTTGCCTATTTATCTGATTTTATTTTTTAACTTAATTGATTTTGAATGTACTTTTTTAATATTTTAAAATATGAATAAACTTAATTTTTGTGTACTTTTTTATGAGTAGATATGTGGTCATAATGTATTTGACGGGACCTCTGTCAACAAACGTACGTAGTATAAAAGATTTTAATCTGGAGACAAAAGCTTCACAAATGACGATGATGAACCAAAAATTATTGTTGATGACATTAAAGGTTGAGGCATTAAAGTTGAAACTGTTTTGCGTCAAACTGTTAAAAATGAGTAGAATGATTTTTACTTTGATTAATAAATATAAGATGTTCCATTTTAACTTTGCCATTGAAATATCTCCTAAAGTCTAAAAAATGCAAAAACATGTTTCAAACAAAAGTTGTAGGATTTCAAGGGGATATCTGATGGTGACTTTGACTGACCTAGAGGTCATTTAAAGGCTTAATTTTTTAAAATAAAACCCCCTATTTTTTATTACATATTCTTGTAGCTCATCTCGAGAGCTTTCTAAAACACTATAATAAAACATTTTTTCTCAAGTACTTTTTAAGTTATAAGACTGGAATATATCAATATTTGAAAATCATATCTTTACTTTAAGGGGATCCTAAATGCACGGGCGAACTCCGATAGGGTCGATAATAAAGATTTTTTAAATATAATTATCGACAAAACTCGACAGATGTCGCAATAAAAAAGTTGTCAATCGACACACACATACATATACAGGGTGTCCCATTTTATATAATTTATAATTATATAAAAATTATATATACACAGGTTGTTACACATACATATACACATATGTATGCGTGTGTGTATTTATACAAGGTGTCCCATTTTTACTACCCCTAATATCTCTTTGTTTCAATGCATTTTATAATAAAACAACAAAAGTTGTACGGTTTCAAAGGAACTATAAAATAGTACCATTAGTGTTGACCTTGCACAGTCATAAAGATTACGTGAAAGTCACTATCACATGATAAGTTATAAAGTTTCAACATTGCAATATCGCTTCTGAGAATTTTGCGCACATGCAAACTGCATCTGGGGTAAAATATTTTGTACAGTTATCAGCAAACGAATAGATCGCCTGTGGAATTATTTTTTAAAACAACCAGCACACGAATAGATCGCCTCTGGAATTATTTTTAAAACAACCAGCACACGAATAGATCGCCTCTGGAATTATTTTTTAAAACAACCAGCACACGAATAGATCGCCTCTGGAATTATTTTTTAAAACAACCAGCACACGAATAGATCGCCTCTGGAATTATTTTTTAAAACAACCAGCACACGAATAGATCGCCTCTGGAATTATTTTTTAAAACAACCAGCACACGAATAGATCGCCTCTGGAATTATTTTTTAAAATAACCAGCACACGAATAGATCGCCTCTGGAATTATTTTTTAAAACAACCAGCACACGAATAGATCGCCTCTGGAATTACAGTTTTAAAACAACCAGCACACGAATAGATCGCCTCTGGAATTACAGTTTTAAAACAACCAGCACACGAATAGATCGCCTCTGGAATTACAGTTTTAAAACAACCAGCACACGAATAGATCGCCTCTGGAATTATTTTTTAAACCAGCACACGAATAGACCGCCTCTGGCACTAACTACTATAAAAACTATAATAATAATTATCAATTAATGAAAAAATAAACAAAGGATTGCATTATCACATGAAAAAATAAACAAAGGATTGCATTATCTTTCAGATAAAAAAAATTGAGAATTGCATTTTAATAAAAAAAAATTAAAATAAAAATTAAAAATAAAAATAAAAATTGCATTTTAAACGTCTATTTGAATGTTCTTATAAAATTACACCTACATACATACATACATACAAATATATATATATATATGTATATATATATTTATATACAGGGTAAGCCATTTTAATCTTTGCACTAAAATTTCTCAAAATTCAAAAGTTTAAGACAAAAATGTTTCAGATAAAAGTTGTATGGTTTCAAGGGGGACATAAGATGGTGTCATTGATTTGACCTTGAATAGCCATTTGAAGGTTACGTGACGGTCAACTTCAATTTCTTAAATGGAACATTATATTTTTTCTTGCATACTTTTATAGCTGACTTTAAGATCTTTCCAAAACACTACAATAAAATATTTTTTCATTAAGTATTTTTCGAGTTATAAGGCTGCAAATTTGCAGTATTTTGACATAAAATACAAAATATCTTGGGAAATATTCATTTTTCGATTATCATACCTTAATACTTTTATGCACAGAATAATGAGACGAATCAATTGGTGTAAAGAAAACACATAGTTGTCTTAAAGAAAAATTATCTAACTGCTTATTGCAATTTTCATATTTTTTTTAAAGGTAAATATGTGTTTTCTTTACACCAACTATATATATCAATATATATGTATCATATATATATATATATATATTAATACGATGTTCAGCATAACAATACGTACGATTTTTGAAATGTTTGCAACAGTTTAGAAAAAAATATATATTGTAAAAATTGATCTGTTTTGTGCAATCTATTACAAGCAATAAAAAATGAGGAAAAAAAATTTTTATAAAAAAAATTAGTGTTACCTTGAATTTTTTTTAATAAAATCATATTTTTTTATATAAATCGATTCTCAATATTCTGCATAAGTTGTAATGTAAGATGGCCAAAAAAAGCGAATAGCTTATGAGATATATTATACTTTCATAATGTACATAAACTATGAAATATCTCATGAAATCATTTTCTGATTATTTTATTCCAATTTTAAATCAATTGGTGTAAAGAAAACACAGATATAAATAAAGATATAAATTGTAAACCAGCAGCTACATATTTTCTCTAAAACTCAAATATCTCGTAAACTTTTCACTTTTTCACAATTTTATCTTTATAATTTTTGATGCAGAATATTGTAACAAATTGATTTAGATTAAATATGATGCTTTTATTTTAAAAAAAATTATGACATTCATTTTTTCATGAAAACATTTTTTTTTAATTTTTCTGTTACGTAATAGCTTTGAAACAAATTCATTTGTACAATATAAATTTTTTAATTATCAGAAACGTCTCAAATATCATGCGCACTATTATAATATATATATATATATATATATATATATATATATATATATAATACATACAGCATACATAATACTGTTACATACAGCACAAATACACAAAATATTACATACCTATTTATTATGCACATAAATGTATATAACGATTAGATAGACAAAAAAAAAGAAATAGAAGAAAAAAGAAATAAATAGAAAGAGAGCGAACGAGTGAGCCTTTTTATAAACGTCGACAAGCAATATATTATTATGTATGTATACATGTATGTGTGTATGTATATATACATATATATATTGCTTTATGATATATATTTATAATGTAAAGAGGCTAGAGAACTCATACTCACTATCTTTCTCTTTTTTTCTTCAGCTTTCTGTATCTGTTAATTTATTCATTATATCCATGTATGTGTATAACAAATAGATGTATATAATTAATGTTTATTTGTACTGTTTATAATGTTATATATATATATATATATATATATATTTCTTTTTCTTTTTGTCTATCTAATCGTTATATACATTTATGTGCATAATAAATAGGTATGTAATATTTTGTGTATTTGTGCTGTATGTAACAGTAATTCTGATATTGAATCAATTTTATGATATGACATAATACTAACCTTTTAAAACATGCTCCCTTTCTACTCAATCTGCGACCAGATAGGGGCAAACGTTTATTTTTGTTTGCACCCATTATACACTATATATTTAATAAATATAAAAATATCACTTTTAAAATATCACAGTATGTCTATCTATCACAATATTCGACACGTTATCACACGTTATAACGGTCGAGTCGCGCACTGCGTGTAAGCACGTATAGTACGTACCGCGTGACAAGTGAACCATCCCGCGCAAATATATGTTATTGCGCGCACACGATTTTGTTTACAAATATGTATATATAGGGTGTCTACATGCTACATTTTTAGCATGTACCCAATTTTTGTTATTTTTCGCAAAATTATAATTACACAATTATTTAATATAATTATATATAAAAAATTTTTCCCGCGTTGTATGTGTCGTAAGGAGATATATGTATAATTGATCGTTTGCATTGAATGTCACTATTTTCTGAAAAGTAAAAAAAGAGAGCTCTCTCTCTCTCTCTCTCTCTCTCTTTCTTGATCCTTTATGCTTATTGTTAGTATTCTATCAATTAGTAATCAATGCAATCAATCATATCGTTTTACGGCAACAGCCAGTTACTCGTTCACTCACTCATTCATTCTTTTAAAATATGTCCATTTTTATACATAATTATGTAAATTTATATATAAAAAATAAGGGTGCATATATAATCATGTCAAATTTGTATATAAAACATATATATTTATATATATAAAGAAATACTTATTTATTACACTTGTATATATATATATATATATATATATATATATAAATTTATATAATTATATATAACAAGCACTTTTACTTAATTATGTAT